CCCCCCTCCCGTCTGTGGGATTTGTCCCCCTGAATTCGGGGGCCCCTGGTATTGCTGCCCACCCTGTTTCTGCACGAGTGCCCGCATGAGTGTGTTTGTGCGTGCTCCGTTTCGTGCGCTGGGACCCCCGGTGGTGACTGCCCGCTTGTGCGCTGGCATCCCTTCCAGAAGCTGCAGGAGCAGGATGAGCAGGCGGAGAGGCTGAAGGACCGCCTGCGCTGGGAGCAGAGGGGCCTGCGGGGCCGCCTGGAGCAGCTGCTGGGAGGCGCGGAGAGGACGCGCAGCGACAGCCTGGGCTCCGCGCTGTCCTCCGAGAGGTCCGACTCCGACAGAGGTACTGCCCCTGGTCTCCTTACGCTCGGGACACTCCCCACACGGCGCTGGCGCGCGCCCAGTCCGCTCCCCACACTCGGCGGCTCTCAGTGGGCGGTGGAGCAGAGTGATGAAGCCTGTTCAGAGACTGGGCTTGTATGGACCAGTGCACCCTCTGAAATAATACAGCAATACAGGAGAATTCATGTGCTGACCAACTGGATCTAAGTTTAGTGCTGCTGCAAGAGAGTATGGCTTTAGGCTCCTGTACTTCGCTTTTATTCTGCATATGAAGTGTCCCCACTAGGGAGGAGGTCAGAAAACACTACGTGCAATTATGTGATCCCTATTGAAATGCCACCCTGCTTCTGCAAAAGTATTAACGTCGCGTGTATGTCGTTGCAGAGGACGTGGAGATTGACGTGGAGAGCACGCTGTTTGTGTGTGTGGAGTCCGAGAACCTCGGGGCGACGCAAGCCGAAGGTGACCACAGCTATTCCACCGTGGGGCGGGCTTGGTTATGACAGAGCGCCATCTGCTGGTCAGAAACAAAACTGAACAAAACAAACAAGTCCGTCGGACAGGCCACAGCAGGAATGAAAATGCTCCAGATTTTCAAGGCACTTTTTCTGCACTAGAAGCGCAATGCAAATATAGCACAAAAAACAGCAACTGACATGCATTTACCTTTTGAGATGTACAGCATTTTTCTAAAAAAAATCTACTTCTGGGCCAGTTTGCATGGGCAACATGCACTGATCTGAATGGATCATTGTTGTCTGAAGCTTTCTGATCGTGTCAGGATTAAAAAAAAAAGTGAAGCAAAAAAAACTTAAGAGCTGCAAATGCGTGCTTGAACAGGATGCAGCCAACGAGAAAAACTATTTTGTAACGACCATGAAATGACATCTGTTCTGGATGAAGTATTCTCACTACCTTGACATGACATGCACAGTTAGCTCTTCTTTTGTAAGGATATTTTGCGTTTTTTATTATTTCAGGTAGTGTGTGCGTTTGCAATGAGTTGAGATTACATTATAAAATTGTACTAGTGTGTACTGCAGTTAAAGGCACGGTGAAATGCAGATCATGAAACTCATTTATCAAGAAATAGAAAAAAGGTAGAAATTACCTTGCAAATTTACCACAGTAACATTTTTACTATGAATTTATTGGTGCTCTGTTTTAGTTTTAAGTGCGGTGTTTTACACTACCTATTCAGCACCATTAGAAGTTGTATAACCAGGAGCAATGCAATTCATTTGCAGTACAGCAGTCTGTTTTTTTTTATTCCTTAGTGGCGAGTGGTGTTGTTGGAAGCCAAACAAAGTGATCACCCTTAAACAAACACCCTTAAACAAAGTGATCAAATCCAGCATGCAATGTTCCCAAGCACTTAGTAGATCAGAAATGATAAATGATCTTTGCACAGCTGGAATTCCAGTTGCTTGAGGAAGGTTCTGAGCGAGTTCCCACAGGCAAGATAACTTTGTGCCTTTTATAGGATGGAAGCGGAGTCGATTCCTTTGTATCCAAAGGAAAAAGGAAGCTGTAGGATAGTTTTAGAGCAGTGAAAACTGTCAGTCTTGCACTCTGGCGCTTGTGATGGCTTTTGAGTGAGGAAACACCAATCCAGTTTTAGTCTCCAATGCCTTCTCATGCCCGTGTGAGCCTAATTTAATTGGCTGCTTTGTTTTAAAAGACAGTATTTTCTTAGGTAAAACTCAGATGGTGGGAGATGTCATTCACTCAGAACCCTGTATGCATCCTTTTTTTAAACCTTTGACAATGTGAGACCAATAGACCGATGTGATTGAAGTCAGAGTCTGAAGAGCAGACAATAGCGCCTGCTCTGTGAGAGGTAACTGGCGGGATGTCACGTGCTTTTATTCTGACAAGAGCGTGGCATTTAAGGCCATCCCTTGTTATGTGCTTCCTGATCTTTTTCAATTAGATAAAACTACCCCATGTCTAAGTGAAAATTGCCAAACTGCTCACTGTTCGATTCTTCATTATCAGCAATGAAAAAAGCAGGAGTTATTAAGTATGTGAGAATTTAGCTTAATCTTGTGCTCAAAGTACACTTAAAGTTAATTTGGAACAGAAACTCCTTTTTCCAAGCCCTAATGCATAGTGAGAAGTTGCTGATGAAGGTTTGAGAAACCTGTTGAAGTGTGGGAGGTCGAAATACCATAAGCATGCACGTCTAGCATTGCATGGTCTGTTATCTGGAAAAAGATTACTCCTATTAAATCTCTTGGTCCTTGTGCAGCTCCTGTTCTGAAAAGCTTGAGTCTTCCATTCTGCATGAATGAGTCCTTGCTGAGGAGAGGAGCAGGAAGGGAGCCCATGTGTACAGCAGGGCGTGGTGTGGGACCAGTCTGAGTGAAGGATTTGTGAAAGGTTACAGCAGGAGCACCCCTGAGACTGGAGCCAATGTTATATCTGGAAGCAGTACTCTTCCGCCACTGGGAAAGAATAGACCAGTAACAGTACGGAATGGAATAATCATGAGCACATATTCCGTTTTCAGGAGGAAAGGTATTGTGCCACCCAGGTAATATTTACGCAGCTTTTTACAGAGCAGGCGCACAGTACTGCTGGTGCACTGAGGACTGGCCGGTCCTGATTCTGAGCACTCCTCTGCAGAGAGCTGAGGGCCACACTTGCCCGCATTTTTCCAATTATGCTGACAAGCTTCACTGGCACAGCGCTTTTTACAGCAGTTCATTGCACTTCTTTTGCCTTGTATTGTGTAAGCTAATTAGATGGAAATATCCTGGAGGGACATGCTTCATTATTTTAAGCTCTTAAGGTTTGTTTTAGTGAATTGCGTTTTTTGTTAACCGTTTTGAATTGCGCGTATTCGAATGCATCACTGAAGTACATTCCAGTTTTCTTACCAGCACTTAAGACCACCTTCTTTTTCTTTTGCTACTTACCAGCAAGCACTGATTTTAAACATTCTTTTTATGGTTTTTTTTTTGCATGCATTTGTTTTCTTGTTCTTTTTCATGATGTATTCTGGCACATTATTAAATGTAATTGTGCTGTAGTATTTGTTTTGAAGGAAGGAAATAACTCAGAGGTTAAACTTAAAACGTAATTTTTAAATTAGCCCTGTTTTTAGTCCGGATTTAAAAACAAACCAGTGCTAGAGCACACCCTGCGAGAGGCTATGATCTATATTTATGTTATCTCCTCTGGGGTAATTCCTTCCAGTGATTATGACTTATTTATTTTAAGGTGATAGATTGAATTAAAATTTGTGTATCTAATCTAAAATTTTGTACTTAAGATGTTGTGAAAACAAGACCATAGGAATGTCACATTCTATAGAGCATCTCCGCCACAACACCCCCTTTTGTACTGCCAGCAGTTTAGTATTGAAAAGCCATTCGCTTGTGCATGATAGAAATGTTCTACAAGAAACAGTTATTCACAGCTTTAGTCTGCCAGCCCTGTTTATAACTGTTTAATAAGACCCCTGCAGGTTAAATTAAAGTTTGCTGCACAAGACAGGTAATAGAAGCCCCTGCCATTGCAGCCCCTGTCCCCTCAGAGACTATAGTGTACATTTCCCAAGCTTCAAGAGGCACAAGCATAGTCTTCCATACTGCTGTGGGTTTGCAAAATACCCGTGTAGGTTCTGTGTGGGACAATGGGGATTAAGCATGCCAAATGCTGGCAGAAACAAATTCCAACACCTTTGCCTTACCGGACTTAATTCAGCCACCAGCTGAAACAAAGTATTATGCTAATCAAGCAGATGGAGCCGACAGGTTTCGAAATGCAGATACTGCTTGGTCACCACGTTTGGGCATTAATTCAGTTTAATAGCCAAGTCCGTTAACGCAGCAGGCTTGAGAGCTGGTACTGCCTGAAAGAACAGGGCTGGACAGGTGTCGATACCGCTGTCCCTACGTTGGTCTGTTGAAGGCGTTTCTCATTCTACACTTGCTGTATGGTACAGGTGAAACTGGCAGTGTCCGACTTCGTTTTCAGATTCTGCTAGGGTTTATTGACATGGCCTTCTGCAGCACCCATGTGGTGCTCCATTTTCTGCTGATTAAAGCATCATTGCTGACTAAACTGTTGGTATTTTAATGTGCAGATGAAGCTGTAGAAATAGCACTTCCTTTATATTTCCTGCTTGAAATGCACACCTTTTGGATGTTTTTAGGGCTAGGTGGGCCGTTACCATGTGAATGGAAAGAATAAGGACCATTTTTATGTACTTACATTCCCTTATCCCAGTAATCTGATGTAGCATTGTTTAATATTAGAATTTGTATAATAAATATTTTTATATATTTAAATCAATCTTGTGCTTTGTGTCTTTATTTTATATAAACTCCAAAGGTTTTAATTTGAGGTGTGTGGGGTATTGATAAATGCATTATATCTAAACTTTCAGAGAAAGTGAATTATCCATGTTTCAAGTTTATTTAAATAAATAGGTGTAAATGCATTGGAAATGTTCATGGAAAGAGGTTTGTGGTTCCTACATTTACATATGCTACCATCAACACACAGGGCAGACATTCATCAGCTTTTTAAAAACCAACGTAGGAATATAATTATTGCATCTAGACTCTGAAGATCTAAACAAACGCAGAATAAGGAAAGTGGTCTAGACAGCTAGACAAAGGTTTTAGGATTGCACATTCATGGTATGACTGCCTGCAACCTTATTTGCAACCTTTATAAGAAGCTTATTTGATGTAAAAGATTTTAAGTTAAATTCTTACCCACTTGAATAAAATATGCTACACATTTAGTTTTCCAGAATGTTTATTTGTCCTGAACAAAATCTCAACCTAAAATCAACTGGATTTTTTTTCCTTAATTTGAGCACTACCACTACTTATGTTTATAAATATTCTGAAGTGCCCAGGAATTGCAACCCAATACTTAAAAAATAACCATTAACGAAGGGTGTCATATTCAGAAAACTATTCCAGTTCATTACCCTATAATGGCAGCAGGTACACAGAACTCTGTCTCACAGTGTGATGGTCACTACGGTGGACCAAAAGATTACACTTCAATAAAAGGTTACTTCAATTTGAAGCAGATCTGAATTTCCAGTACTGTAAATGGAAAAAAAGCAGTTTATGTCACATGATTTTTTTTCCTAGGATTTGAATGCACGTGTACCAAACAGAACACATTACCGTTCTGTAACTTTCTATGCTTGAGGGCACCTGTTTCAAATCACAAACAGGAGGCAAACAAATCAACAGACAGGGAAAAAATAAGTGATGTCTGACATGACATTTTGTAACCACAATTACAAAGGTTAGGACAGTCAAGTTTCCTGTTCAGTCTATGGGAATTGGCTGCAATTATTACAAGAACATGTGTATCTTGGAATCATGTTTCTCCAACAAATGGCTCTGACATCCAGGTGGGCAGCTCCAAGCTGCAGAGACCGGGGCCAGGTGACCCCCTGTTCTGCGAGAGCATGAGCCACAAGGGAGTGTTAGTCCATCACAGAGCCACAGATCAGACGAACTGCTTCTTCTGAGCCTGGGAAGCCAGATCCTTCGCCTTCTCCCTGGCAGCCAGAGCCGTCTCCTTCGCTTTCCCTCGTGCTTCTTTGGCCGTCTCGACCAGAGTCCACGACGGACTTTCACCTTGAGGAAGACACGCTTACAGGTCAGAGAAAAAACCCAACGCAATCTTTATATATATAATAAAAAGGCACAGGAACACATGTCATCGACTATGTTGATTGTAATTGTAAACAAAATGTGAAGATCCAAAAAGCTGATATATAGTACATGTATATCTTATATAATTGTGTTTTGGGGCTGACAATACAATTGTTTTTTTAACAGACATTTGGCAATAATACCCCTTTCCCACTATTAAACCAAGGGTGTACTGCATCTAAAACTCAACATCAGCACCTGTGGCAGATGTGTGTTATGTCTGGAACTTGATGCCAATGAATTAATTAATAATTAGCCATTTTCTTCACATACTGTCTCGTAACTGCTCTGTATTCATTTTCTACATATCAGCTGCCTGCATTTTCCTACCTTGCATTCTTGCCAAGACGTACTCAAATCCCTTCATGGTCTTCGAAACACTGGTCTTAAACCTTGCAAGGCCAAATTCCTACCAAATAAAAAAAAACTGATTTTAGACAATGCCAAGCTTCAGATACACATTGCTCAATTCATAGAAGTGTCAGCAGGGACACTAGTGACTTACATAAGATTTGGGTTACGTAAAGACGTGGATCAGAACTCAGGAGTAGGTTCTCTAATTAGCCATGCAAATGTCTGACTGAAGAGTACAGTATGAGTCAACCTGTACCACTTTAAATTCAAATGAATGAAATAGAGGAGGTGCAGGTAATAATAGTAAATGCATTATTCTTGTGCTTTAGAAGTCAAAAGTTTCCATGTTACTGCCCTGTCTCTGCTTCACCCACTAACCTGAATACCTCTGGAGAGGCCATACAAGTTGGAAGAGATCCAGGCTTCTCTTTTGATCTCAGTCCAGCTGCCGTTTTCCCGATTCATCCCATACACACAGCGCTCTTCCACAGTCTGCAACAGACACAGCACAATTAATACACGGGCTCTGACCCCCAGTTTCACAAAAAGACAAGCAGCAATGAATGCAGTAGGACGATATACAAACATTATGCGGAATCAAAATCCTACATTGGAATAGCCAGTGGCAATTCTTTCTGCTTGCCTGGTGCACTGTTTCATTTTGAGGTAACCAAGGACAAACAGTATTTTCCCCACATCGGGAATCAAACAAGCCAACTGTGTCTTTTTGCACTGCCTACTGCAGTGTGAACATCTGAGCTGCAGTGCCCAATGGAAGACGGGCACAATCTTTCCTTGCAGACACACTGCAGTAGGCAGTGCTACTGCGTCTTGTTGAGTAGAGTGTAGGAGAGCCCATAGAGTAAAGAGTTGCAGGAATCAAGCCTTGATGTCAGAAATGCATGAATCAGACACTAAGCAGTTTGCTGTCTGACCGGAAGGCATTACAGGGGGTGATCAGGTCAGCCTAGTCCATTACTGGAGTTCAGCTCCCGTCTTCTGTGGATATCTTTACAACTCGCTGACTCGGGAAGGCTGGAAGTATCATTAAGGATAACGATCATCCTGTTTTCCCACTTTTTTTCTCTCTGGCAAGTGTTATAGGAGCATAAAGGCAACTTGTTGTTGTCGCTGCTGCTGCTGCTGTTCTTTGTATGGGAGCAAACATGCAAACAAGCATCTCATGGCACTTGCGCGTATGACAATAAACTGATCCGAACTCGGCGTGGGACGTGGCCCAACGTGGGTGATACTCCTAGGAAGTGGAGTCTGGCGGGGGGGCTGACCATGAGCCGCGCGTGGCTGATGTTCCAGGTGAAGGTGGTGAGGGTCCTGCTCTGGGGGTCCACCACGGAGTCCTCGATCACGTAGGCGCAGCGGGCCACGTTGGCAGGGAGGTATCGCTCCGCCCAGCGCGGCACCCGGCTCGTCTTGGTCAGCAGGCGCCGGGAAACGAGCCGGTTGTCCGAGGTGACCTCCCGGAACAGGATGTCCTCCGTCAGGACGTGCTTACTGAAACAACAGCGGAGAGCGGTGGCTGTCCCTTTGCTTTAAGCGGAAGATATCCGAGCCTACCAAACGCTTTCCGATAAATCCCACAGTGGGATGAAGGGAAAACCAGCAGTGAGAAAGCGTTTGGTCACTGTGAAGCAATGTTTGAAGCTATTAAACTACACATGGGAGAAAAGAAACATTTAATAGCATCGTAGCATCCTGGCCCTGTGGTATCAGTGTTGAATGAGTATTATTGTTAACCTGGGAATATTAAGGACATTAGACTGCTTCAGAAGACAGATAAAACTTCCAAGATGAGAAGGTCTTAGTACATAAATATTCTGCACAGTGAATGAATAATTGATGTACCCCCTGCACATTCTGCCCTATTTTCTCCATAACAATAAAAATCAGTCTTCTTGTAGAAGCCACCGACAATCTGCAAGTGCTCACCGCAGGAGCGGTTCTGCCACAGGGGTTGTGGGTGGGTGGGGGGGGGGGACTTTCACTCCCCCAGTTCAAGAAAAACACCCTGCGTTTGAAAAAACATCCAGTTCTGCAAGAGCAGCAGCTCCAACTCAATTCGCGGAGAACCTGGTGTCTCCGTAGAAGTGTTCCTTCTCTCAAGTAATCAGTTGTAAAAATCCTCATGAGGTTGCAACACGGGCCAGAATTTTACAACCCCAGGAGTAGGACAGAGTACTGCAAAGGTTTAAGAAAGCAGACAACA